ACTCGAGCCGATGTCAGTTATGCAAACGTTACAATGCTCGAGACATGTTGCAGCATAAAAAGCCTAGATAACGCGCCGGTGAACTGGCACCATCCAAACACCACGAATGCTGGTATTTACAGCACTTCGGCCTTTACGATGCCACAAAAATGTACCGTCACGAACGTAAACGGAGCCTATTACTAGTACTGCGACTGCAACTGCTACTGCTACTGCTGCTGCTACTGCTACTGCTTCTGCTACTGATACTGCTGCTACTACGCTACCCTGGTACTACCTTGCCACTACCACTATCACCACTACCTCGGAGATGCAACAACTACGACGGCAACCACGACGAGGACGATGGCCAGCTGTATCATGTTCATGCCTTGTTGCTATTGCCCGCCTGTGAATAGCTTCATTCCCTGCGTGTTCAGATGCAACTTTCGTGATGGCATACAGCACGGGTAGCCTGGCTCTTGCTATGATCCGTGATATTGTTACTATTGCCGTTCATGCTGGCACTAGCACTGTAAGAGCCGTTGTGGAAATACAAAAGTAATGTACATGCAGGTTGTATTTCTGCGAAAATCACTCGAGCCCGCAGGCCTCAGAGCCGTCGTCTGTCCGCCAGAGAGCTCTCAATACTCAGGAGCGGGCATAGGATTTTCGTGCTTATTGGTTTTGATGGGCTTGGGTTTCGATGTTTTAGAACAATAGGGTGGAATCGTTGAGTTTTGTCTTTTACATCTTGGCTCTGACTGGAGGAGTGCCACCCAGAGAAGCCTCGCTACGCAACTTCAAAATTGTCCGTTGTCACGCAATAACCCACTATCCCATTATAATCCCACTATAATCCCAGTATCCAACTCCCTTCAGGTGCGGCCGGAGCTGATTCGGGGCGCCCCGTTGCATGTGGCCCTCTCTGGCTGGGGCCAATACTGGAGAGCACCAGATCAAGGTGCCCTGCTTGAGCGCCACCACCCATCAACTCCTAGTAGCTAAAGCTTAGAAAGAATTGGGAATCCTTCCATAGGCCTATAGGGCTTATTACAAAAGATGCAATGTCCTACGGAGGAAATCTGGCGCCACTTAGGATCCCCAATGAAAGTCGAGCATCGGGCGTCTAATGTACCAGATTTTCTCCATCCACAGTACCACTCGTATAGTATTGGCAGGAGTACAAATCATGACACTCACACCCTCAAAATTAGAATTCTGTAGCCAGATGCACTTCAGTTGTTGCCTGGGTCACGGCTCCATGCCTGACCTAGGGTCTTTTCTCTTGCTTTCTGAAGACATCCTGATATTCTGCATTAGAATCCTGTATGTCTTCAAGAAACGAAAGATCGCCAAAAACATGGGAACACTTTCCTCAAACAACAAAGCTGGTATTATGAGATCTCTTACAACTATACAACTTTAGACAACTCTATGGAGCCTTTGCAAAATTGTGGAGGGTAGCCGGGCGAAGCCCCACGGAGCCAGGTATGTTCAACGTGGATCCCAAGCATTACCAGCTCAGCCGGCCAACAAAGTTCCTGGTCTAAGGCAGCTCAAGGAGTGGGCTTACCATGTAGAGCCCTATGCAGCACCTGTACAACTCTTGTATAAACTTCCCATATGATCGGCTTTACATAGGGTCCTATGTGGTTGGCCGTTACCTTTAGCCTCCTTCAATAGAGCGATTGGCTGTCAACAAGCTTGAGAGCTTCCCAAAAAAAGGCTACCCCGTTTGGTCGAAGGATTACAGTATTTTGGGGTCTATATTGGGGTCCCCTTATTGAGGCAAACTACCATTTGCTTCTGGCAGTGAGGCATCCCTTCCGAGGACAGATGTGTTGGGGAATGCACCATTTTGGGCACACATGTCAGAATACATCATGGGTACAGGTCTCAAGCGACGCCCAGCTCCGCTCCTGTGGGCAACAGGGCCGAAACAACTCACATGCGTCCGGCTGACGAAAAAATAATGGGTGACAGGCAAGAGGACACCGAGAAGAGAAACAAGAGGGGAGGAACACGAAGCAAGGGAAGGGGCAAAAACCTCCAGCCACGAAGGCAACAACATCCAAGCAAAAGAGAGGATGTTCAAAATGTAGCTTTCATGATATTGGCAGGCATTCGAACCTCAAGACTAATTCAAAATCACCAAACGAGACCCGGCAGAGATCCAACGAGCAGCAGGGAGGGAACGAAATGCAAGCACTGTGAGAAAAGCAGAAGACCAGGAAGCTGGTGTCTGTGCGAGATTGAAGGGGAACCTCCCTCACGGTCGTTTTGGGGACAGGTATTTTAAACAACTGCTATGCACTGAAATTCCAAGCCCTCAATCTTCAGCCCTGGAGCAGCTCAAAACTGCCATACTTGAAGCCCTACAGCCGGGGGTCCCCAGGTACTACGATTCTTTCTTGAGCCATGACTGGGCGTCGTCCCGATGGTTGACACTGGGTTCAGCATTTTTGGGGATTTGGCCGTGAAGCCCTCGAGGTTCAGAGTTGTGGGTTCGCCGATACGTTTAGAGTTAAGGGCTTAACAGAGAACTTGCAATACCTGCTCGCAAATGTTTTTTTGAGCCAGGGAATCTCAGTAAAAGAGCCCCAAATG